TGTGTGTGTGTGTGTGTGTATATATATATATATATATATATATATATACACACACACACACACACACAACAAAATCACATTGAATAAATGTATGTTATTATAGCATAACAGACAAATTAATGACATACATATAATTTAAGATCAATAAGGGACTTGTTGAACCATCTAAGCCATCTCATTTGCTATACTAAACTCTAAAGTAAAAGTTTAACACTCAAAGCCAGTCCTTATCATTCAAATACTTATTAAGCCTTCCCTTAAGCTCCCTTAAATTTACTGCATCCACTACATCTGAAAGCAATTCATTCCAATGGCTAAAATGCAGCATATTATGTGGTACATATCATTAAATCAGATTATACTTCTGAAACGTTGTTCTTCAAAATAGTTTGGTTTATGTATCTCTCTAAAATGACAGTTTTTTTCCAAAGTAAAACACTTTTTTTTTATTCTGGAGAGTACCAATATACTTATCTAATCATACTATAGTGCATTTTTACATGAGTAATTTAAACAAAGAGATTGTCATATTACATTAATCTGTCTATTAATGAAAGGAAATAGGAAGTAGCCTTTTTTTTTTTCAAGTTGTAATAAATCATGTTATGTACAAGGTCCTGATTCTAATACATTATACTGCTTTGTGTCTGTACCTTTAAGCAAAGCTTAAGCTGTCGAAAGAAGAGCTGATGGTGATGACGGTTGCAGAAATTGTTCAAGAACTAATCAGTGCTCACAAAGAAGGAAAAGATGTGAACCTTAACAAGTAAATATTGAATTATGTAATCATTAGCTCTGAATATAAGTTATGCAACAAGATAGACAATGCTAATATGTGTGAAATAACCAATTTCTTCATTTTTCTTTTAAAGAAATTATTTTTGGTATTGGAGATGTGATTTCTAATACTTATTAATTTTATGTTTTTTATTGATAGTGAAGCAAATAACTTGTAGGTTGAATAATCTGTTACTTCTCTGACACATTAGTTATTTCAGTATACAGGTTTGTGATAGAATATGTTTTAGTTATTTGAAAAGATACTATGTTTGTTATATAAAAATTATATTGTTGTTTTAATAGGATAAAAGGAACTATTTCAGCTAAGTTTGGACTGGAATCTCAACCTAGGCTTGTTGACATCATAGCTGCTGTTCCTTTGGAATACAAAAAAGTAAGATCAGGTGATTTATTTCATAACATTTCATTTTATTATTATTGTCAGATGGGTGTTACCAAAAAGGACTTTTGCTTGAATTACTATTAAATTTGTACTATAATATTTTAAACACATTTTTGGAAAGCTTCTGAAATTGCATGTCAGAGTTTTGACTCTGACATTTGAGTGGATTACCATAAGGCTTGTTTTGCTGGATCCATGACAAGATTTCAAAATTATGGATTCATATATATTTCATATTTTGCCACTTATATGTTTCTCAAAGGCATATGTTTTCTTTAACTGAACATGCACAAGGTGGATTTTGGCATGGCATGGTCTGATGACGGGGGGTGCTTGACTCGTAATATCAGGGTCACAAGTTCTGATCCTGTCACTAAACATGGTTGCCCTTTCGACCATGGTGGTACTAGAATATAATAGTCAATCATATTTATTGTTGGTAAAAGAGTAGCCCACTGGCTGTAGATGGTGTAGACTAACTGCCTTCTCTCTACTCTATCACTTTTCAATTAAAGATAGCTAGCACAGATAGTATTCTAGTAGCTTTGTGTGAAATTCTAAAACAAACAAACTGGGTTTGTTCATATTGGAGAAAGAATATTGACTATAGTTCCAAATTAACAAAGTGTAGGTACACAAAATGTGGCAAACTTTCAGTATGATATACAATTTTGTTGTACACACTAAATGAGATGTGTTACAAATGTAGTTGTACTGAAAATATGTCTTTGAGCTGCTGACATCAATGTCACTCGTACTCTGACAAGTCAAAATTCTTACCAATGCTATAAGTGCTACCAGTTTGGCTGCCAATTTAGATTTTATTTTTTAAGTCGCACGCTCAGTCCTTTTTTGGCCACACCGAAGGTGTTTTTGATTAGATATCATGACTTTTTGTCAATACACACCAACAAACCACAGCACGTAAGAAAATTACACTCGATATTAACCCACGTTAGCTTTAAAATTGCAACACTATTATTTGGAACAGATCTGTACTTTACAGAACCAACCAGATTCTTTAAAATATACGGTGGTAATAATTTTTTTTTGTAAAATAGTGTTAATAACTTCCTTTATAGTAACACCATGGAATTTAGATGAACAATTTCTTGTCATCACCTGCATGCACAGGATGCAGCTGTATAAAGCATCATTATTTATGCTAATTGCTTAAGCTAATATCACGTGATACTAAATGCTCTTTAGTTTTGAGAATTTCATAAAATTGAGCAAATTTTTGCTTAAAAGTTAGCAATGAATAATAACCATCCACCTGTGATTCTTGAGCAAGAAACTGCTAATCTAGTTTGCTTGGCCTTACCAATACTTGTGTATCTGCTCATCCTTTCACATTATACTTGTGCTTCTGTAAATCAGCCATCTTTAATTCGAAAATAAAAAACTAAAAATAGTCCAATTACTATTATATGAAGCTGTCGTAAAAATTTCAGACTGATCGCTCATGTGACTCTGCATAGGCAGGCACAAAAATTTTGATCAAATTTGAGCAGTTTTTTGTCAAATAACTTTGCACATGTGACCTATATTTAAATGAAATTTTACACCTAATTGTAGATTGTAAAGATCTTTCAGTGTATCAACATTGAAAAAAATCCATAACTTATGTTTTTCTATCAAAAAAAGTTTCCATACTTTCGTTGCGAAGAAAAAAGAAAAAATCCAGTCAAAATTGGAGATTTTATATCTCGCTTAATAACATTAAAAGGTTTTTAAAAATATTATCTACAACTGCAGAATTATCTTCACTATATATTTTTTCTTTAATTTTAGTTTTATTGATTATATTTACTTAATTTACTCTCTACAGAAGTTATTCCTAATAACAAAATTGTAAATCATTAACAAGGAAATCAGGATTAAATTGAGATTAATCAAACTTTAAAAGAACAATGTCTCTGATCTCATTCTGCCCTTTGGAACTACTTTCTACATTGTTGGACATGTTCAGTTTGTTGGGTATTATTACTCGTCAATATAATTTCCATTATAAAAAGCTCCTGCAAAGGATAGATTGCAAGATCAGTCTTAGATGGTATGAGGATGGGTATTATCTTACTGTTACACAAATTCATCTCCAACAGCACCAGCAAAAATGGGAACAATGGGTAGTAAGATCTCATCCATGTAATGTCATGCTCAGGAATCCTCTACCCTTCAAATAGAGGTCTCTACACCCCTGAATGCAGATGCCAGACCACAATTGAGCCACTTCCAAAGGCATCATGGTAGATAGTGTTACAGGCCAAATATCACTCTCTTTTACATCTCGCATGTCAATCACTTGAACATACACAAATCCTGCTCTCATCTATGAAAGGTACGGGGATCCATTGCTGACGGGTCCAGATAACATGTTTCTGAGTAAGCACCAGGTGGGTTGTTCAGTATCTTGGGGCTAGTACACGGACTCTAACTGGTATCCTGGACCTGGGCCCAGCCTCATCAATCCTGTTCCTCACTGAAGCTCATTTCTGAGGCCCCTGGGGCTGCTGGTATAGTTTCTAACGGCTAGATTCTACATATATTGGTTATCTACTGCAACTGTAGCTTTTCTGTGACCCAGGCCTGGCCTCATGACGTTATTCTCCTGTGAACTGGTATCTTCACCACAAATCTACTGACCACAGAGTGTGACATCCCATGACCTGTACCATCTCAGTATTAATGCAGTCTAATCCTCTAATAAGCATGCTAAATTAGAAAAAGACTGATAACCTTAAAACATAAATATTTAAACAAACTGCATTATCCTTGGATTACCAAATTATAAATTTGTTTCTGCACATTAAAATATTTCAAGTTAAAGCACCAACCTGTTAGACTTAAAGCTAGATAGAGTTTATGAAATCAACTGTTTTAAACTTAGTTCTAAGTATAATTTTATTTTATTTTAATTTTACAACTGTTAATGTAATAGTTCTCACCTTTAATGATTGGCGTTCTTCTGTTTTTCAAGCAAATAAAATGTTCACTTTGCTTCATCTTCACACCATGATTTTTTTTTTTTTTACTTTCCATCATCAACAAATCACTAAACTTGTCTTTCCATATACAACTTTAGTTGGTGTGAAGATTTGGTAATTGTGTGCTAGATTTATCCTTGAATTTTCAAACCAATTTGCAATGAGTTTGCTATTAAGGTAAACTTTGCTTTTATGTGCATAGAGATATTTGTGTATGTGCGTACATAAATATGATATGTTGTTTCTTACTTTTCTTTCATTTTGTATTCAGGTTCTTTTGCCAAAGTTGAGAGCTAAACCAGTTAGAACTGCCAGTGGGGTATGTCTATATATATTTACTTATCTCCTCAATATGATTTTGTCTTATTATACTTCATAGAATTACAAGTTAAATTTTACCGGGATAAAAAAAAATGTAGATAACTACTATCTACAGTATTTATGTTTTCAAACATGTTGCTTAATAATAAAATGGTAAACAATGATTTATAAACGTAATGAATTGATTTATTTTTGGAGGAACGTACTACATGTATGTTCCCTCAACAATAAATCATTTCACTATGCTCATAAATAATTGTTTGCCAACTTATTATTTTATTAGCATAATGTGCTTCCTTACTCAAGTAAACGTGTTGCTTACATTTATTTTGAAATTTGGTATTCCAAATGAAATATTTTATTTAAAAACTTTTTTATGTGCTCAGATTGCTGTTGTTGCTGTAATGTGTAAGCCACATCGTTGTCCCCACATTAATATGACTGGAAATATTTGTGTGTAAGTTGAATTATTTTTCATTTCTTTACTGCAACCATTGTCACCTGATCAAAAAAAAATATTAATAAACGTTATTTTCACAGGTATGAATGAGACATGTCTGACAGTAATGTACTTTAGTATTATGTCATATAAAAAAAACAACTTTTTGAAAACAAGTGGAAATAATTAATAGTTTGGTTTTGTTCTTCCTAGATACTGTCCTGGGGGACCAGACTCTGATTTTGAATACTCCACTCAGTCATATACTGGCTATGAAGTGAGTTTCAAATTTTATGAAAAAAGATTGAAATGCCTCTCTATCTATTCAGTTATCTTAATGTAAGTCATCTTTCTTGTAGACCACTAACACTTTGACCAAAAGCATAATTTCAGAACTGATAAAACTAAAAACTGAATTTTTAATAGTACTGTTATTCCTGGAATTGTTATCTTAAGATGTGAAACTCTATATGCATGTATAATTGGGATGAATTTAAATTTTGTGGTATTCCCATAAAAACTGATTTTCCCACAAAGCAGTCAGTTAAGAATGCTAGCTGGAGGTTTGGAGAATATTTGACTACAGTGTATAAAACTCTCTCCAATCTACAAGTGGGATTGTCCAGAAGAAGGACTCATCACTGATTATCTGGGAAATACTATAGAAAAACAAAACAAGGGCAAGTGTTTATCATTGTGCATTAAACAGACAAGAGCAAGATAAAGACTTTATATAAAAACAATTATCAGTTTAGTGTCCACACAATAAGTTAAATTAAACCCAAAACTTGAAATGGAAATTAACCTCTAACGAAGATTAAAAAATAAAGCTACAAAAGTTATTTTACCATTTGTGCAAAACTAAAATAAGTGTTTAAACTACAATTAAAATAAAACCCAAACTCTTATGCTTCTCTCTAATGTTTAAGTAAACAATTAAATTCACTAACCAAAAAGTTATAAGCAAAGTTAAAATACTGAAACTACTGACATTAGTTAACACAAGATTCTTCAAGTTAAAAGTAAGCTAAAAAAAGCTTAAGTTCTATCTGTTGTACTATATTACAAAACACTTGAAAAATTCTAAAATCTGTCTGACAGAGGCAAACCTGGCTTTATATAAAAAACGAAATTTACAAAGTAAAATTTGCATACAAATTTCACCTCACATTCAAGATCTATTTTCACTGAGAGTTGAAATGTAGGGGTGCAGTTACCCTGACTTAACACTTATCCAATTCACCAAAAGGAAAGATAATTTTCAATTCCTGGAAATCGTGTGCTATTTTCCCTGCAAGAAAATCTGCTAATTGCCAGTTAGTAAACCCACATCCTGCATGCACCCAAAACAAGAAAAGTTAAACTGTTACTTGAGCACATGCATGTGTTCAAACTGAGAACACTAAAAAGCACAATAATTTTGAAACAATTTACATTTTAACTGAGGGAGTTGCAGGCACATAGCACCATCCTGTACTACAACTTCAAGCAAGAAACTTTTGTGATCAGGTATGAAAAAGTTGTTGAAAAGGAAATGGCTAATTATCGTCATAGTTGGTTTATTTTTGGTAAATTATTGCAGTTTCTTTGTGATATAGAATTTTTTGTGTTTATGATATTAAACATAATTTGTAATGTATATATATATATATATATTTGGAAATTTTAGTATAAATTGATATCTATATACAATTTTTTTGTTATTGTTGTACACCGTAATATATTTCTGTAATTCTGGAATAGTACATTGATGAGACAAATTGGTATATTTTTATTCCAAGTAAAGCCTTAGGTTTCTGGAGAGGCAGAGTAGTGAAAGGTTTGATTATACAAAATGATTTTTTTTTGTGTGTGTTTTATAGCCAACTTCAATGCGTGCCATTCGAGCAAGATATAATCCTTACCTTCAAACTAAACATAGACTGGAACAGGTTTGTCTTTACTTCCTATTTTTTGTTGTTCCATCGTTCTTTTATAGATATTCAGTTATTTACTTGAAATTTCTACATGAAGGTTTCATCCCCCCCTCCATGCAGTCGTATAGTTAACTTTATGCTTATTTATCTCAATATATACATTTTACTTATATCACTGTAATCTCCAGTTCATGTTTGTATGTAACCACTTGAAATTAATAATTGCTAGTTATTTCATCTGATTTACTTTTTTGTTAGTGTAATTACACTCATTTGGTCAAATGTTATGCATAATTTATGTCCAAATTACTTCAAATATGTATTTAAAAACACAATGAAAGTACTTTTAAAAGGGCCCTCATGAGCCAGTGGGGTATGTTTTTGTTGAAAAAAACTCTCCAATCTGGTTTTTCTTAATTTGAACTGAAATTTTTTTTAACATTCTAATTAGCTAAAGAAAAAGCATTTTCAGCACTCTTTCAGCATTGGGTCTGCAAAAAATAATTTGAAGTGGTAAGGTGACTGAAATCCATCAATGCATCACGAGCTTAATGCAAGAAGCATGGAAGTCTCCAAATAATGCGTAAAAGTATTCAGGAACATTTAAAAACACTTTGGTAGATATTGTGCAGCAAGCTGAGTACAGTATTATGCTTGTAGGTTGGCAATTGCTTAATTAATGATGCTGATAATGTGGCTTTATCGATATATACTGAATTTACTCACAGTGCGTAGACCTTAGTATCAGGTAGTATGGAGACTTGAGGATGCTGTATTTCACTTAAAAATTTATCAATTAACAAATGAAAACTTGTTTCGAAAAGATATGTCCAAAACCACCGTTTTGGGGAGTTTCCAGATTGAACTTATTTTTAATATTCAACAAATTGTAGTGTAAAGACGTTCCTGAGGGATGTGTTAAGAACATTTATTTAAAAAATTCTATTTTCATTACATTTTAATTTTTATCTAAACCTTTGATTTTTAAAACAAAAGTACACAGTCTAAATTAAAGCTTCTTGATATACTAATATAAACAGGTTTTTGATGAGCACCAACCCTTGAACAACTACATAGAATTGACCATACAAAAAACAAGGCTGCTTAAGAAACAACCTTTAAACTTTGACCTTATGCCTTATTAATTGACATTGCAAAACAAATTGTAACTGGGAATTGGAGTCTTTTTAAATTCAAAAGGGTAATTACTTGGTAGCAAAGTAATTCTTGGAATGAAGACATCTTCATATTTGGAATGACCAGTTGCTTCAATAACATGTGGCAGTAAAGTCTTAACAACTAAGTTTGTGCTATTACATAATTTTGGAGGATCAAAATTTCTGAACAGCATTATTGGTGAACCGACCTTTAATTTCAGAATGTGACCTGGTGTCTCTGGTGGTTCAACAGGAATTCAGTTGGGTGATTTACAGCATCAACTGTAATGGGAACAGTGACAGTTGAGCTGTAGGTGAATTCCTGTCCAGGAACCTTTTGCAATAATTGATCATTTATGTCATGAACAGTATCATTTCAAGGTGCAAGAATCGCCCTTTCACTCAACCATTAATAATTTTGACAAATATTAGGCAAAACCTTTTCCTTTAGCTCTTCTGCATCCTCAACTAAGTTACCACATTTGTATGGAATAGTAATGTTGTTGTGTGATTGATTGATCGATTGGAAACTTTTCAACACTAACTTAAGAAGTGGTTCCTGAATTAAACTGTTTGCTTTTATATCACCTAAGTTTTTAAAAACAGAGAAAATAAAAATTAACATGTACATTACATGTTCAACATAAACATCATTGTTGGCCTAACAACAATATTGTGATAGTTTTATTGCTAAGCGATGATGTATATTATTGAGTATTACCAAAAGGAGCATGACACAAAGACAGAAATTGAATTAAAAGCCAAATATTAGTTTTTCTGGGAAAAATGGTGGGAATTTTGCCCATTCATGGCACTTCTGGGGACTGTAGGAGTCACCATACCAAGTTTGGTGGTGATTGGTCAAATAGTGTGCGAGGAGTTAGCAGACAGACAAACATACAGTTTTGCTTTTATATATATAGATAATCTGTTCAGGTCTTCATTAATTCCTGAATATTTTCCCTAATATATGGCCATGTTACAAATGTATTATCATCATATCTGAGCAAAACCTCTGTGTGTAAACAAGATGTTTAGAGAGCATTAACTTGAAAATGTTCCATGTAGAGGTTACTGAGTACTTGTGATAGGGATAAACCCATGGGTAGGTCTTCTTGTTTTTGATAGTACTTATTTTCAAATTGGAAGCAGGTTGAATTAATACAGTAAACTGCAAGTTCTAACATGAAGATTGTCAGTTCTATCATTTTCAAACTATTGATGGAATATTTGTAGTTTGTTAGGGGTTGGTGCTTTAGTGAAGAGGTTGGATATATTGATGTTGATCATTGTGTCGTGTGGCTGCTTTTATAATCTGTAAAGTGTGCTGAATTCTTAACATAATATTTTACCTATTAATCATGATATTGTATGTACAAGTTATCTAGCTAACTGGTGAAACTGGGAATCTCTGTTGTTCAGTATGTAATGTGTAGTGTAATCTTGTTTGTGAAATTTAAATATATTACAGATCTATATGATGGTGCTGTGGTGTACAATTAGTTGTTTGTCACTTCTGTTTCATGTTCTTTCTGTGTTAGTGATTGGGTTGAGTATGATCTTTGTGTAATGGCCCTCTGCAAGTAGATTTTTGGAATTTCATGGAATACTCCTCTTTGTTCAAGATTACAGTGGTATTACTTTTATTTGCTGGTAGAATTGTTATCTTTCAGTTTTTGAGGGCAGTTTTTCTCATATGGTGCTTTATAGATTAGTAATTTGTATGTAATTATAAAAATATATTCATGATGTTAGGAAAATATGTAGGTTCAAAAATAAATTTAAAAATACAATACCCTTTAACTCGAGCACTTGTGAATTTGGAATGGTACGTTTTTAGTTTTGTATGTATTTTTAGTTATAAGTATATATAAAACCAAAACATGTACAAGTTTCTACCTTTGAATATAAATAAAAACACTAAAATCCTTGAACTCTTCTGTTTCTTTGTCTTTCCTATTATTTTTTACCAGTTTCATGACTTCAAATGTCACTCTTTAGGATGTAATTTTTACAGATAATCTGTAATAAAAACATTTACATACCATTTTTCACCTAAACATGAATAACTTGAATTAAATAAATAATTTAAAAAAAAAGATTAATAACATCAAATACAATCCTGATATCAAATATATTTTCCTTTTTTTAATTCCTTTGTCATTTTTCTTTTGATTAATATTTTATTTTATTTGTATATTTTTTTCTTTGTATAGGAAAGAAGTTTCCACAATTTTTAACAATTTCATACAAAATATACTTTTTACTTACTTTATTTTCCTTTTTGTAATTCTTAGTCAGTTTTTACTGTTGCACAATTCCAACTAACCTTACTCAACTACTATCCCCTATGCCCTCTTACCTTTATCTGTTGCCGACAAATGTTGTGAAATATGTTTAAAAAATTAGCCTCTTATGTTTTGTATTGCATATATAATAGCTCACAAAAAATAAAAATTACATAATATCTATTTAAAATTTAAATATTTGAGTTTATTACATTTTCTAAAATAAGTAAAAATTGTTAAATAGTCTTTAAAGTTACCTAAATTAATTATTTATTATACTATATACAAAATTTAATGTACATAATGCAAATTAAGTTTTGTTATGTTAAGCTAGATATGAAGAATTACGACAAAGTTTATCTTGGAGTATGGATTTTTTTCACTACTATTTCAGATATACAAAAATTTGTATTTATATTTAATTTCTGTGACCCTTATCTTTGCAGCTAAAACAGCTTGGTCATGATGTTGACAAAGTGGAATTTATAGTCATGGGAGGAACTTTCATGGCTTTACCAGAAGATTACCGTGATTACTTCATTCGTAATCTTCATGATGCTTTGTCTGGCCACAGCAGCTCCAATGTAGCTGAAGCTGTAAAATACAGTGAGAGATCTAAGACAAAATGCATTGGAATTACCATTGAAACCAGACCAGATTACTGCTTGAAACGTCATTTGAGGTAGGTCTCAAGATCACTTCAGTTGTTATTACTGTTAAATTAGAATAGTGTCATAAATGTCACTTAAGATAAGTCTCAGGTCAGATTACTGTCTAAAAAATTATTTAGATCGGCCTCTGGATCTACTGGTTCAAAGTCACCATTGAAAACTAACCACTAGGTTACTGATTAAATTTCACTTTGTGATATGCAGGCATATTATTTTCTTGTGTCTGATTTAAGGAACTTAAAAAATCTTCAATTTAGTTAATTTCTATGGAGTTGTAGCATAAACACTTGGGCCAGAAAGACATTGATATTATCTTGTTATGGTTCCTATATTTCTTTGTTCTAAATAATAGATAATGTCTATGCTGCCTATGAAAAAATTGCAGTAACATATAACATCTGAGTTGAAAGGATTACACTCTAATGTCCTTTGCTGGCTGAATTTGATACGGTATGAATGAGAGAGCTGAGTAATTCCTTGAAAGAACAAAGGCCATGAGATGATGCCATCTAAAGGGCAAAGAAACTGAGCTTACATGTTGAATTCAGGTGCACTTTCTTAGTTCCATTCTACTTGTATTTCATTGTGACTAGTTTGGCAAAGATTCATCTTGAGTAATGAAAAGCTGATAAGCTATTCACTGATCCAGTAGAGACAATCGTCCACTTGTTTACACAGGTACACATACTGTTTTTTATTATATTTAAATATAGATTGTTTTTACTGCTCCATCAAATATGTTGTTATTGGCAGATCTAACCATCTAATCAGGGAAATCAGTTCACCCGAAACTACCACAACTTGGTAGGACTTAGAAACATCTGGGTCAGACCTTTCATTGAAAATAGATTATGTTGCTGTCAATTTAGGATTTGGTTATATGAAACTCCTTACAGTAACTTTTACTCTTCCATTTTGTGTATGTAACATTTATGTCCAATATTTTAGTTAAAGTATTGACTGCCTTTACCAATTTTTTTCTATTAAATTGAGTTATATGAGCATGCACTATTTCATCCATTATCTAGGTCACTGTGCACTTTATAATTTGAGCAAGTTTGGTAAGTTTTATTGAATTAGTCTGATATTGGTATCCATGTGAAATATAAATTAATCTAAGGAAGACTTTAGTACAGTAATGATATCATAAATTAAAAAAGGAGTTAATTTGAGGAAAATTCTGTAACTGTTATTTCATTACAGCCTATCCACTAAGAAAACTACTTCTGGTCACAGTGACTGATTACTAATTGTGTTACCAGTCACCATACAAAAACACAGTCATTCCTTGACAGCTATTCACTCTTAACTCTTGATAAATTTATAATTGTACATATAATTATGGAAAAAAATTACATGTGGAAAAAATCTTTTTATGTTGTAGAGCTATTTTAACTAAACATATGTTCACAGGCTCAGACAAATTGACCAACTGTTTCAGTGAAGCTGTATATGCCAGTGTTTACTATATTTCTGAATTCACTATGTATCTTATTAAAATTTGGCAAGCTTTTAGTAAACACTAGAAGTCTGTTGTAGAAAAAAAATATTATTTTAATAAAATGTTTTTACTAAAGACTTAACTGTAAATTTTGCATTCTTTTTGTTTTAATCTGAATGAAAGGTAATTTTCATGCCAAGAACAAAAAATATTTCTTTTCACCTTACAGTTCTGTTATTTTATTCACATAACCTCTAGAACCTCCTGAATGAATATCAAAAGTTTCTTCCTTCTGTTTCCTTTTAATTTTATGTCAAAAGCAATAAGCAATAGGGGGGAGCTGATTAGCTGATTTTGATAGAGCTAACATAAACATACAGTGATTACTGAGTATAATGTTTCACAGAATGTTGATTTCATAGAATTTTAGACATTTTAATTTTACTGAAGTTTTGTTAAGCTAAGTTAAGAAGTTTATTCAAAATAAATATAATATATGTATAAAAACAATGATTTGTGGTACTTACTGTATACTCAAATAAAAGTTTTAGATGCTCTTCTATAAACTTTGTTGAGTCTGACCAATTTGGGTATCCAACAGAAACTTCATGTAGCTTTCAAATTTGCATTTTGGAACATATATATTAGTCAAAAGAATAGGATGTCCCAAACCTACTATAAATTACCTGTCTTTGTAAGTGGCTATAAATAGGTTTAAAACATTTGTTTAATATCTATAGCACCAAAATATGATCACCATATACCAAGCAATTCTGCTTACTATCAGTTTACAGTTCAAACTTGTAACATTTATATAGAAAAGAATCTGCTCTTTCTGTTGGTTATAAGCATGTCTATCTGCCTTGTAAATTTGAATAACAAACTCAAAAGTCAGCAAGAAAGAGGAGGGGCTTCTCTTGTAGGTTTTACAACTTTTTTGTTATTTCAGTAAATCAAGCAGGTAGGAAGTTCAGATTTGTAATTGCGTATAATTGAATTTCTGATTGATTGGAAACACCAACAGCCAATTTTTAGGTTGAGAAATCAGAACTCTGATGTGACACAGAAAAACAAAGATCAGGAATTTTTTTGATCACTGCTTTCTGAAATTAAGACTAACTTAACCCTCTCTCCATAAACATCTTTTTCTGTGCATGTCAAGGGGTTTTAGTAAGTTACTTTCAAAATTTAATTAAGCTACTATCTTTTCATGGTGTACCAATAAGTATAGCATAAAAATGTAGCCAATAATCCATATCTTAATAGTATACAATCTTACTTTTATAAGGCAATATTTAAAAAAAAAATCTAAAATTTCCCTTATTGTGAGAATTGTGACATTTGTTCTCTAGGTATCCCCTCTTCTCTTAATTTATTTACCACTCCTCCAAGAAGTGTGAAATTTAACATAAATTACTTATTATAATATCGTAACCACTCATTAAATCATAGTTTTCACAGCCTTCAGTCTTATTTGGTTACAGAACCATGGAATAGACAACTAGACCCATCTTGCCATGCCTTCATTTCACATCCTCTCTTTCATAAATTGCCAATAATTCTCTCTGCCATTCAATACTATATTATTTATAACATATAGAAAGCCAAAAGCAAGGTTTTTCATCTATTCAGTGATGTATTATATTATGTTGTTTTCTGTAAAGAGAATTATCAATTTTGCTTTCAGTTCAAGCTTCATTACCATGGGAAATACATCAACAAGCTTAGATGAAATTTTAATGGCTGTTGTTGCATAGTTAGAAAGCCAGAAAAACTGGTATAGTTATGGGATGTTACCTGCTTTTTGCACATTATTATTCTATGTTCTTTTGGTGCATTACTTTATTAAATAAAAAATTATTTAGTGCAGTATTACCATTAGTATAAAAAAGTAGGGTTAAGTGTCATCAACAATTGAGAGTAAATAATAAGACCCAGGTAAGTACTTTTTTCTTGCTTTTCATGTGCATTATATATTTATTACTATAAAAGTAAAATGTGAAAATAGGAAACTTATGTTAGTTAAGGTTAGATTAAATGAAATGAATACAAATAATAATAATATAATAAATTTTCATGAGATATGCACACGTATTGCTCGTGTGTAATGTATTTAAATAGTGTAACATGAGCTGCACACTTGCCAAGTGATTTATAACTTATAATGGTGTGAATAGTAATTAGTCAGGGCTCAAAGGGCAATAAAATTTAAGTATAAATGGATGTATATTGTTATGAGTGTAAAGCTGTTTAGGATAAACAAATGTGGTTTCTTATTACAATTTGAAGTCACTCTAGAAAGAAGAAAAATGGTTATTTAGATTCATTTCAATCTTGTTTTGGTGATTATCAGGTCAGTCATATTGACCAACCATGTATAAAGTTAGTGTAGAGAAAATAACAGATAAAATATAATGTTTTACTGAAAAAAAGAATGTTTGAAATATATTTAGGTGGTTTTAGAGATTATGCAAATAAAATTTGAAATTTTTGAGACGAATAAAAGTATTTTTAATTTTAATGTGGAAATCACTTAGAACTCTGACTAGTATTTAGAAATACTATATACATTCATGGAAAAATCTTTAATAAAAATACTTCATTCAATAAATTGATTTTTTTTTGTGTACAAACGACTTGTAATGTTTCTAAAGATATGTCAAATTTTGTGAAGATACTCATACTGTATTAAAAGTTATAGTATGAAAACTATAACAAGCATAAAATGGTTACAAGGTTGGTCCTTGGGACCGAGCCTATAGTGAGAAATTTAATACACATGCACTAGACAGCTATCCATCACAAAGGTTTTGCTGTTACTTGTACTAACAAGTGGATCTTGGCTGATCGACTTGCTTTTGAAACAGTGTGTGACCAGTATTTACTACTTAACAGAAATGCTGTATTAATGAGAGCTTTTGTTTGTGAGTAGTTTTGAACTAATGTTTTATATACTTCATTTATGCTATCAGCTCAAAAAATAACTATGAAAACCTGTTATCAAATCAATTGAAAAAGTAAGTAATTACCTCTAAAGTGGTAATAAATTCGTAGCAAGTTATTTAATTAACATGTTAGCACTCCCTATAAATCAGAACTAAATTTTATGTTTAAACATGTCATATATATGTTATTGAGAACTTTTTTTGCAATATTTTACCACCAAGCTGTGAACTGTTCATTGTAACAGAATTTTTAATTTTTTTGTTTGTGCTATTAAAAGATAATTTTTAACAGAAACAAATTATTTTTAGGATGTATTTCTTATTTTCTGCTTTTTAAGCTTTCACCTGCACATAAATAATATCAGTCTTATAGTAGGAGAATATATTGTTGTTATTGAAGATTGTTGTATTCAGCTAGAACTTATCATAGAAAAATATATTGTTGTTATTGAAGATTGTTGTATTCAGCTAGAACTTATCATAGAAAAATATATTGTTATTGAAGATTGTTGTATTCAGCTAGAATATTTTATGGAAGTAACAGTTAGTTTTTTTTACTGTCAAAACATCAACAGCATTATTATTCATTAGTATTCAGCTTGAGTACATTTGCAAGGTAAATATTTCTGCAAAGAAGTGAACTAAAAATAAACTGAACACTGTGATGTGACCTCCAGTAACATTGTAAAAGGTAATGGCCTTGAAACTGACTTGCTATGAGAAACTTAAGACATGGATGTTGGGCTTGTGTTGCGATGATTAAATTTCCTCATAAAATGTCTAATTTTTTTCCTTTAGCCTTGTCTAAATATACAGATTATTTATTATACGAATAAATTGCTAAGTTTCAAGAAGGCTATAATTAGTTCTTAGAGCTTATGAGTGAAAACAAAAAAGAATGTGTTATAACAGTAGAAAGAAAATAAATCCAAAGAACATGTACATTTCGGACAGATAAACAAAATAAGAAATACAATACCAAAAAAATATTTGATTAGTCGGGAAACATAACAAAAATTGGAAATAAAGGGAATTATGAAAACTACAATTGTTCCCCTTTCCTGTACCTTTTAATCTAGTTATTTATTTTATCAATAATATTTAGTACTTTCAACTGATATTCTTTTGGGATTTATAAGTGATTTATGTACTAATTGAAGAGCAGAAAATAGAGCATTTGTATTGTAAATTTGATGAGTAGTTAAGTTGATATTATTCTTGTACATCTCTATACATTGAAACAACTTGCTAAAGGTGAATTTTTTATGAGCTGAAACAAGTTGTTTATCTAAAAATAATCACAAATATTAAAAACACAGTAATACCAAAAAACATCTTTAATATGGATGTTTTGGAATTTCCTTAAATTCCATCATCTGCTTTAATGTCTCAAAAAAATGTTAGTTCATAATATTTGAACTACAAAAAGAACATTAGCATTGAGTGAGTATTTGCAATCAAATCAGAAGTTTAGAAAGAATAGATTTAAATGCTAACAACATAAAGAAATGTATGATAAAATGTGTGACATACACATGTTTAATAAATAACATTGTTAAAAGAAATTATTATAAAGAAAGGCTTAAATATAAGTATAAACATTGTATCTGTAAAATAATAATAAATATCATAGAAAAACACCTAGAACAGGGAGGAGTTGATGTTATTATTTAGTGTTGGGTAATCATTGAAAATAAAGAAACTTTCTTTAATAAAGAGTTTGTAATCTGTGGTTCTGTAATCAAGAATTTTTCTAGAAGTGTGGGGTTAGTGTTATTCTCACTGCAAAATCAGATATAAGACTCGAGTGTATTAGTTAGCTTATATCCACTTCTTGCTGAAATTCCCATATGCTCGTACGAGTTTAAAACTTTGTTTGCCAATGAAAGGAGTGATAAGAACTAGTAGATATCTTGAGACAATGTGTGACTTTTTGTTAAAATGTTTTGTGTGATAGGGTGTAAAAAATGAAGGGGATAACCATTACTTTGTAATATGTTATGAGTTTTTGAAATTTCTGAGTGAAGACAGAAGTAGTCAGAGCAGATATTATATGTTCTGCTTAGAAGATTTAGAACAAGGTTATGTTTGAAGGAGTCTGGTATGAAACTGTTGAAACAAGTGCAAGCTAGTAAATGTTTTCATACAGTAAATAGATGTGGAAAAGAGATTGTTTATTTGGATGTCTAGAATAGAATAAAAAAGCTAAGTTATTGTTTTCTTCCATCTCACATGTAAAGTTTATACATTGATGTTTTGAGTTTAGGTATTTTAAAAACTTCTTGTTGTGATCAGTGTTGTGAAAGAGTAGGAAAGTATCATCAGTGTACCTTCTATATAATACTGGTTTATAATAAAGGGGCAGTTTTTCAGCCATCGACATTCGTAATAACATAGAAAAATATTTTCAAGGGTCAGACCTAAAGATGATCCCATTGCCACCCCATCTATCTGTCATAAAGATGACCATTAAAAACAAAGTGATTGTCCTTGAGGGTCAATTTAAGAAGCTGTTCAAATTTTTGTTGGTTAAATTTATAGTGCACAGCATTTTTGATAGGGAATAACTGTTTAATAATTATTTTAATACTTTTTTTAAATATTTATTATAAAACTTTGTTTGCCACCTGATGAATCAGTTGAAAATAACCACAGTTTTAGTGGCATGAACCTTTACTTTCACTCTCTCTATGTATTTGAGTTTTACCCAACCTTTTCATAAAGTTCTACTTGATGAATTTTATTTAAAACAGATTAGTGGCTCACTAAAGTAAGACAGTATGTGAAGGCTAAAATTGTATCTTTTAAGTAATTACTGGTTTGTTTGATTTCTTAACAGACTTTCTTGGTTTTGTAAGCTTTTTGAAGTATTCTTTAAATCCTGCTACAGGCCAGGAAATTCATCATTTTTAGAGCAAGGCCATTTGGCCTTGAATTTTTCTTTCATTTTCAAGGGCACCCAGATAAAAAAAAAAAAAATTCACTGGAGGCTAAGGCCACAGTACACATTAATGTTAATGGAATAGAAATGCGTTTCTCAAGTAGTTCAGTAAATATGGTAATAGTTTTTTTCATTGGGGACTTGGGAAGCTGGCCTATCCTTCCATATTATGTTTATCAGGTAGGTAAGTGTTAACCTTAACCAATGATACTTATGAAGTAACTGTATATCAGCTTTAAGATAAAAGAAAAAGAGGTATGCTGATCCAAAATGCCCTGTGACCTTAAGATTCCTAGGTTTGCCCCTCCTGACCCCAAATTACGTTTGACCTTAAAATCATATACAACATTTAGGCACCTCTCTCCACATATTAATTTATCTAACCTTGAGATGGATCAAACAAAATCCCTGGGAGGAGAAGCATTTTAAAGGTTTCCAGGATTTGAATTCTGGTAACATTACAAATCATGAACAACTTTCAGGTATCTCTATCCATTTATTAATTTATCCAACTTTGATGAAAATCACACACGTACACATTAAGAGAACAAGTGCTTTATGAGATTCCTAGCTTTTGACCCCAGATGACCTTTGACCTAAGAATTGTATACAACTTTTATGTACCTCTATCCATTTATTACTTTGTTTAACTTTGAGAATGATCAGACAAAATTTCTGGTAAGAGAAAAAGTTTCAAGGCCTAATTTCTACCAACAAAATTCAGGCCCATCATATCTGACTACTTGACTAAGATTGACGAACATCAGTTACATGGTCTTCGAACAGCAGCCCTTTGAAAATCTTGACAGACAGACAGATAGATAGAAAGTCACATTGCCATGGCATAAGATCAACATTCTATTTCCAAACAATACTACTACTAGTATTTTTTGCATAATATCTAACGTAGGCCAATGCCAATAAATAGTAAATTAGGTGTGCACTACAGTATAGCAAATGATCGTAACCTATAAATCATGTGTTGTGCACACATTGCATTGTGCAACTCACTACTTATAATCAAGTAATGTTAATCATAGCTAGCTAATGTTGTAGGCCTCAGCCTTTGGTGGGTTTGCACATAAAATTTATGGAGTTGAATTATTGACATATCCTATTTCACTTCATTTTTTAAACAAGAGGGAATTCTCTATAGCTGCATCACTTGAAATTCTTTTAGGCAAGAGTAAATTAATCTATGAGACCTTTTTTTCCTTTTTATTACTCGTAAGGATCTCTACCAACCTACTCTCAAACTAAAATTCTTTTAAGCAGGATTAGACTAAATTAATCTATGAGACCTTTGGCATGGTCAAATACATCAATCAAAATTGTTTGTCCTCCTGAGTCATAAACTGTAATTGGATCTCAAATCGGTCAAGAGATGACAGAGCTATGAGCTAAAAGTTTGTACTTGAGAAAAACTTGGAACCATTCTATGAGCTGCTATGCTGCAGTTAAAAATCAGGATGTAATCTACATAATTACCAAAAGAAAAAAGTTCCAATTTCTGGTACTTGGCTGCCACAGAAAAATTTTTTATGGCATTCTCCCTCTTAACTCGTTCCTTTTTCAGCTGGTTTAATACAAGGAGTATTTACAGTCATGTACTTCACTCTGACCAGTGACAGCAATTAGTGCTGACTTTGATTGTCATGTACTGCTGTCACTGTGGGTCTTTGTGTAAACTCTGCAGGTTTGTTGTTTGAGTGCCAATTTCAATTGCTTGCTACTACTAACAGCCTGCTGTATGGTATGACTCAACAAACTATGTTTTACTGCCAATCAAAGCAAAAACTTCACTCCCTCCATTACATGCATTTTATGTGATATATTATTCGTAACAAGGTAGTTTCTGTAGGTTGCAAGTTCAGTGTTTGTGATTCCCAACAGTTTTCCCTACACTCCGGTTGGCAATACAAATCTAAATCACGAGTGCATGATGACCAAAGGGATACTGAAGGGTGGCCATTGTGGCTGTGGATTTTAGTGATTTTCTGAGGGCATCATGGCCATTTCAAAAAATACAGCAACAATTGCCACAATGAATTTCTTGCTCTGCCATTATTCTAATAATAATTTTTCAATACCAGTCTAATAATGAATTAAATTACTGTGTAAGTCCTACTGCATAACACCCTTCAGCACAAGTTCTAACTTACGCAAGTAGAAAAGATTATTCACAAAAAGTTTTTATTTTTCAAATTTATCAGAAAAAAATAATTTTGCAAAAAAATAATCTGATACTAATTTAATTATTTTTAATTATTATTACCTTCTAAGAAAATTATTATTAATGTCACTAAAGAATTTATAAAATCTAATATGATACCCTTGTTTTCAATATAAATACATAAAATCTTGTGTTTTAATATTGTTAAGACCCTTCCCAGTCATTCAATGTCCACACAAACTGATGCTATTTGAGCTCAAGAGGAAATGCTTTAACTATTTTAAAATTAACAATTTCTTTTTTTCACTTTAGTGATATGCTTTCTTATGGATGTACACGTCTAGAGATAGGAGTGCAAAGTGTGTATGAAGATATTGCTCGTGACACAAACAGGTAATTAAGATCATTGTAATCCGTGCACAGAAAACTAATTTAACTGCTTTAGAAATTCTTAAGTATTCTAGAAGATAAATTTGTCTAACAAAAACATAATATAAAAATAACCTATCCATTTTATTTGTAGATTTTAAAACAACCATTTTCAAATTGTCTGAATCCTTTCTATCCTTTTGTGACAAGTTTAGGTCACTTTGGAGCATATACATAAATCATATTTTCAAGTGTTTAATAGTAAAATAAAGTGACCTTCCCAGTTTGAATTTGTTTGATTAGTTTTAATAGTATTTGAGTAAATCACAAACACCTAAAATTCATTCTCAAGGTTTGATTTCAAATTTTCTTGCCCATGTTTAAAGTAACAGTAGTAGGTTTGCACATAAGTACTTAGTTCAAACCCTGTAATTAATACTGTAAGTTGTTTCAATTAAGTAATAGTAGGCTTATTTTTTCTAATTTAAATAAATCTCTCCTTTTATTGGCCACTAAACAAAATTAGTGCTTTTATGACAATAATGATGCTTTTGAAATTATATATAATTTAGGAAACCTTTGATTTTTTTTAAAAAGTTGAGAGCATATTAAAGAAGTTATCCACTATTATTTTGTCCCTTTGGAATTATAATAATCTGAAAATGCTGAGCAAATTTACACTTTCATTGAAAAACTTTCAAAATAACATAATTTAAAGTATGAACAAAAAGGATCTCTTTAAGCTTTCAAGGCTGTCTTTGAGAAAACGATAAAACTACATTTAATTTTTCAGAAATCATCAATTCTCATTTTAAACTTTTGTAAAAAAGCCTACTTCAACTACTGCCAATGGTAACTCCTTACATAAACCAACTGCCTTGGTAGAAGAATAAAACTGCCCTAACTTTTATCCAAACATTTATATATATATATAAACTTTTATTCAAACAATATAAATACTCTTGTAGACTCTTTTAATTGCAAACAGTGATACTTAATTTTATTTTGTTTATTCAATTAACTAATATATATATGTTGCAGTGTGTATTTATTCCTTATACATTTTTGAGTAGGAAAGGGGGTTTCAATCTTTTATTATAATGTTCTTTTTTAATATTGAAGTATAATTCTCTATGGTTGACTTTTGCCATCTTTTTTATATTTTTTATAGAGATTTGAATATGTTTCAAACAAGTTTATTTGATGTTTAACTGTAAGAATCAAAGTTTTTATGAAATAACATATTTTGCCACCAGGTGCTAAAGTTTATTGAGCACTGCTACACCTATTTGTTATTAGATATTGTACTAAATAAGTCTGTTATGCATGAAGCCAATTTTTATAAAACCATATGTGATTCAACAAAATGTTATTATGCTGACCAAAGTTTATTGTAGCATGAGTAATTTAAAATAAATTACTGCAAAAAAAATTGGTTTCTGCACATATTGGATGTGGTTATGTCAGACAGGTGATGTTCAACTTCTCTCAGATAAGAGTAGCTCAAGATTCTATTGATTCAAAACTAGGAACAGATTGTGCTTGAATAGCTTTGTACAAGTATCCAAAAACAAACAAATATATTACTATAATGTAAGATAGTAATATAATGTAATTTTGTTTCTACAGAATCAGTTATTGTTTCATTCTTGTATGAGACTCAGTGAGTTACACAGTCAGTTTGTCTCACAAAACTAGAATATCAACAATGTATGTGGCCAAATGATTCAAGGATGATAAAGTAGGCCAGTTGTAAAACAAAAAATAACTTGTAACACATAAGAACAATTATTGACAATATAAAAGTGAAATATAATTAAATAAATGATATTGAATATAACTGGCAGAAACTAAATTAAGAGACAGAAGTGCAGTATTGAAACTTAAAGAAATTAAGTATAGCAGAACACTTAAATAACCTTAATATTAGAAGGGAAATAAAAAATCTGGCCAGCTTTCTATACAAAGTTGAGCTCTTCAAGTCCAAAATTAATTTCTTGGAAAATAAAAAGCTTTGATTGTACAAGCACCCTAACCTTTGATGGTTGAACTACTATTCCAAATTCCTTGTAACAGTTGTAAAGGTGACCTCACACTTTAACATCATTTATCACTGATGCAATGCTGTCCTAGATGATGGTTAAGGCAACTTGTAGTTGTACCTGCCATGAAGATTAGAAACCTTGGTCAAGTTTAGCTCTTCATCTATAATGGATATCCCATTTCTCAACTAGAACATAGAAGTTTTTTAGATCTTGCATTTGAACTTGAATATTATCTGTAATTTCTGTAGAAGGATTTTTTTATTTGATAGCTATCTACCACAATATTAGTATACAAATATACTGTGTTGCAAATTTTACAACTTGTATGCTTGTGATAAAACATGGTGTCTTTTTCTGTAGAGGTCATACAGTAAAAGCAGTCTGTGAGTCTTTTCAACTAGCCAAAGATGCTGGATTCAAAGTTGTAGCTCATATGATGCCTGATCTTCCTAATATGGACTTGGAGCGAGATATTGAACAGTTTATTGTACGAATGAGCTTTGTCCTTTAATTTCTATGTATAAATTAAAACATATATGTTACCATAATAATTACTGCATGAAAGTCAAATCCTTGCACTTGTGAACTGTCAAAAAATGTGTATGTTATAAATGTGGAAAATTTGAAATGAAGATGTTTATTGTAGTCATCAGGTTTACATTTTTAACTAAAAAACTGACAACAACTGGTTACAGTTGTTTTGCAATTCAAAATAATTATTTTTATATGCACTATTACTAATATGGTTGGGGGCACAGTTTTATTTACTCTTAGTTTAATTAACAGGTTATTGAATTAATAATGCTGAAGTTTGTAATTGATCCTAAACTTGAAGGAGTTCACTGATTTCTTTAACTCAAGTGCAAGAAATCTAGTAAAAATACTTGCAGTTGATGATTAAAATAAGTTGATAACATTGTTTTTTACATTAGATGCCTTAAGTTTTAAAGGTAGATGGGTCAAACTCTATAGTATTTGCACCAATTTAAATTATCAATTTATAATTATATTTTTTATATATAAAAAAAGCTTATTTGAGACAAGTGAGATAACTACCTGTTGCTTTAAAATGTATATTTTTTGTATCATTATTATGAATATCAACAAAAAAGATGTTTGTGAATGACTGGTATTATTAGTTATAATGTAAGTAAAGTGTAATAATGTTAGAATTGAAAACAGATGTAAAAATGCATATAAAATGTGGCTTTAAAAGTTACAGCATGTCAAATGTTCATGCATTAATTGCCTAACAGTGTAAAGTGTGCACATGATTATGTGGTATAAATAGTTAGTTAAACAAAAACACAAATAAATCTTGATACTAATAAGTAAAATGGGAATAATATTTACTGTTTGTACCATATAATACGTACAATACGTAGTGCACAATAGTGTTACTAAGTTGTTAATCCTTAACTGTTATTAGTAGTTCAATACTGTAGTGCACAATAGTGTTACTAAGTTGTTAATCCTTAACTGTTATTAGTAGTTCAGTACTGTAGTGCACAATAGTGTTACTAAGTTGTTAATCCTTAACTGTTATTAGTAGTTCAATACTGTAGTGCACAATAGTGTTACTAAGTTGTTAATCCTTAACTGTTATTTGTAGTTATAATGTTTTTAGTTTTGTGCAGGAATTTTTCGAAAACCCAGCATTTCGAGCGGATGGCTTGAAGATCTATCCTACTTTAGTAATAAGAGGCACAGGTTTATATGAGCTGTGGAAGACAGGTCGCTACAAAAGTTATCCTCCAAACACTTTGGTTGAACTAATTGCAAGGATACTAGCCTTAGTTCCACCCTGGACAAGAGTATATCGAGTACAGAGGCAAGTGTTCTCTGAAGGGTTTACCTACTATCTCATTGAAATACATAGCAAAACTCACATTTTTTGATAAAAATTACAGGTCAATGGGTTAAACAGAAATAAAATGGTGGAAACTGACATTTTTTGTTAGAGAGAGTATTGTACATTGTATATAAAATAAATTTTTTGCATATGCAAATATGATTATTAGAAAACTCATTTTAGCATGTTTGACCACTATAAGAAAATAATTAGATAATGATTATATCTGAATATCTTCACTTTTTACAGTATTATTTCTAGAAAAACATCTTAATGAGAAACAAAATGCTAGAAAACCCTTATAATTTACTATGATGCAAAATCCACGTACATACTTGTAGAGGGTAATACAGAAAATTAATTTGGATGGCCATAATTGAGTACAATTTTCTACATAGTGAAAGTGTGCTGCGAAATTGAGCTGAGAATTGTAGGGAATGCTCAAAGCAAAAAAATAATACATACTTTTTTAAAAACTAATAGATGCTTTTAAATGTTATGTTGTATTTATGTGCATCTACTCAAATGGGCCTTAGGTTAAGACCAAATATCAAAGACGGGATATAGAGAACAAATGCCCCCCAGTAGCACAGTCTGCGGACTTACAACGCTAGAATCCGGGTTTCGATACCCGTGGTGGGCAGAGCACAGATAGCCCATTGTGTAGCTTTGTGCTTAATTTCACATAAATAAATAAAATAAATAAAGAACAAATCTGTGCAAAATTTTAATTTGTTTTTATTTATTTGACTTTTTATTGTTTTGATTTCTAGCCTAAATTTTTCATGACATGATTTTTCGAATTTTGGCACGAAGAACTTTTACATCCAAAATGTATTATTGGATGATGATTAAATAAAAGAGTAAATATTGAGCATAATAACACATGTAACATGTGTTATTATGTAACATTATGTGTTATTATGTAACATGTGTTATTATGCTCAATATTTACTCTTATTGTGTCTGAAAGTTACTACTGCAAAAAACTACTAAAGTAAAAGAAAGTTTCCTTAACATTTTTATCTTTATAGATTGGATAGCATATAAGTATATATATTGATTACGTGGTTTTCTGTTCACGTGATACAATAGTTGAAAAGTAAATCTATCTATGTGTTCTAAGGTGATATCTATCGATCTAACATATAGGGATATTCCAATGCCCCTTGTGACATCTGGTGTAGAACATGGGAACCTAAGAGAGCTTGCCCTGGCACGTATGAAAGATCTTGGAACAAAGTGCCGAGACGTAAGGACACGGGAGGTAGGCATACAAGAAATCCACCACAAAGTTCAGCCTTATGAGGTGAGAAAAAATATCTACATTATGAATTTGTAGATTTTTGTAAAATTGTTATTATTTTTTAATCTGTGCATTGCCTATTGAGATAATACATTTTATGTACAAAAAATAAAAGGAAATATTTCATTAAAAATAAATATGGCATATTTCTGTGCTTAATTTGATGATGGTGCCCAATGAATGTTAAAATGACTAATCAGAGCAGAAAAAAAAATAGTGTTCATTCTTAAGTACCTTGAAACTTAGCCTTAAAGTATAGGAATAATTTACAAACATGTACCGAAAAATTAACAAGAAATTAGATTATGAAACTTCTGCACCAAAGTATGTAACAAATGAAAACTGTGGAATTACTACGACAACAAAGCGAACAAGAAATGGGAATTCAATCTACTATTATAATACAGTGAAGAAAAGGCATACAGGCATAATGCTGTAATCAACTCAAAGAAAAATATGAATTCCTTATTAATGCTCCAATACTGGAAATAAAGAGAAAATACAACCACAGTAATGGTAAAGTGACAAAAAATGATATAGAGAAGTACTGATACACAGCAGTGAGAAAAAGGAGAATTATAGTACTGCTACTACTATATTAAAGTGATTGAGAATTAGAATACAGAATACAACTATGATACAATGAAGAAATCATAATACACAACTACTGTATGATAAATTGAACAAGAAATTGGAATACACAACTACTGTATGATAAATTGAACACGAAATCGGAATACACAACTACCGTATAATAAATTGAACAAGAAATCGGAATACACAATACTGTATGATAAATTGAGCAAGAAATCGGAATACACAGCTACCGTATGATAAATTGAAAACAAAATCGGAATACACAACTACTGTATGATAAATTGAACATGAAATCAGAATACACAACTACCGTATAATAAATTGAACAAGAAATCGGAATACACAACTACCGTATGATAAATTGAACAAGAAATCGGAATACACAACTACCGTATGATAATTGAACAAGAAATCGGAATACACAACTACCGTATGATAAATTAGAACAAGAATCGGAATACACAACTACCGTATTGACTAATTGAACAAGAAATCGGAAT